CGAATTAAAACTGATAATGAAGATTAACAACTTTATTGGCAATTGGCAACTACTTTTTGCTGAATTTGATGACGTAACTTTGAACTTTCCTGCCTTCATCATCCTCTCTATAAAGTGCCACGTTTTTTCGCTCATGTTGCTGGTGCGGTGCCTTCACACTTAACATCGATAAGAGCGAAAGTGGCCAAACTCATCGGAAGTTCACTCACTTCATTCACTATGCTTTAGAAGCCAGAGAACCGTGCCCCAAAGGTGACAAGAAAAAAAACCAGTTCAAGAGAATTCACACTGGGGAATGCAAGCAAAAACACCAGAGTGGCCGGAAAACCATGTTTGCGCTCGCCGAAAACGTTCACATTCGTTCTTCCCCTTGTACATGCTACCGTCACTGCTGACATCGCCGCTTGAGAATTCATACCATTTGTCCGTTTCCTGAGCATTAAAGTTTGTACCGAGTTCTAGTTATGCACTCAAAGCACTGAAAATAAACAGTTTACACTTTTACAAACGTCTAGGAAGATATGCTAACAGAAACAGCACGAGCAGACACAGCGGCAGTGACCGATTCAACTGGCAGTGCAAAAGCGTATGACATGCCGATTCCTTGCAGCTGCACCTTCTACTTTCAGTGCTTTCAGAGATCGTAATTCAAAGCAGGCTCTCTATCAGCTCGTCCTCGTGAAGGCCAAGAGTTTTGATGTGTTGCACGAGTAATTTGCAATAGGGCCTACGCGATCTACCGCCAACGCTTTTGCTATCATGTTTAATTTGTGGCTGGTTGTTTGCACTACCTGGTATGAGAGCTAGAGCAGCTCATGTAACTAAAACCAAAAGCTATTTGCTATCACCGGAAAATTGGTCCCAGCCCAATTTTTTCACATCGGCCTCGCAGTGTGTTTTCCCAGCCACTAAAGCGAGAAAAATTATGCCAAGTTTTGCCACATTCACTCTCTTTGAGGCCAAGAGTGAACGGGTCCTCCTCCCACAAACAAGCCATGTTGCGCCGCTTCCATGCAGCGGTCAATCGCAAATTTATATCATTAGCAATGACTGGGAAAACCCTTCATATAGCACCGAATCACAGCATATTTTATAGCATAATGTAATCCATCCAAAACAACCTTCAAGTCCATATAATCGCAAAATTCGCATAAACAGCAATAGTAGTATCATCGAGATTATACTGTAATCCCTCTATAAATCAGATGCCCAACGAACTTCACTATTTCGTCGAGCGTCACCCCTTTCCTATGAGCCCCATCACTCTGCGCAGGTTGGCGTTCCTATATACATATATGCATCTAAGCATATTTCTTTGCATTTTTGTGCATCATATTAAAGAAAGAGCAACGTCGCGTGCAGTTCTAAAACGTTTCATGCTGCTCCGTAGTCAAGGACAAAATGTGCTCCGGTGGCCTTGTTGTTAGAAGCTCTGCAGCCCGCACCAGCACTCCGCACACCAGCAACGTGGGGGACCTCGCACGTAACCAGAGTAGTTACAAGGTTGTGCACAAAGGTCAGCAGCTATGCACTTGTGGCGTAGGAGACAACTTGACGCCATGAACAAAACAAACCCATGAACAGCTGTGGATGTCTCAGGCTGACACAAAACATCATCGCCATACAACTTGAAGCTTAGGTGCTGTCATCCTCAAACTTTAAGCTCGTCTTCACTCAATTCAGATGGAGTTGCAAGACAGTTTTGAGCGGCACGTGTTTTTTGTAACGCAGGTGCGCTCCCATGCGCGCTTGACGACAACGCCATAGAAGCAACTAGTGACACCAGTTGCGGCCCTGTGTCTGATATAACAATATAAGCAAAACCAAGGCTGCTGGAAACTGGCTGATAAGGCCACCTACACACTTTAGACATGTGATAGACCTTTGAAAATATTTTTGTAGTATAAATTTTCCCTCACTTCTAGCAACAGCTCTCTATTAAATAGCTGGCATAAATTTCTGGCAATTATTACTGCTCAACACTGTCGCATTGAAAAGCTGACACCTCAATTTGATATTTGACTTGCAAAGGTGTTCTTTAATTACAGAACTTTGATGTTACTGTAGCATAACTAAGGGGGGAACGCACTTCTGTCAAGTTCACCAGCCAAGTGCACTTTCTCAACAACACATGCATATCGGTTGGCTCAAAGCTCTGTCAAAAATCACTACTTTGCTAAAACAGGCTCATTCAAGTTGGTTCTGAAAGTTGAGTGGCTTGATTAACTACTAGAAAGTGCTAGGTGCTCAAGAAAGTATTCAACTTTCCGAAATCGACGATACAGTTCGTTGATCACCGGCGATCTACTTGAATAGGCGTGGTAACAATAGGGTTAAGCCGGCACTTGGAAGTCTCCAAGATTTACTTGCATAACACCCCAATGGCTAACTGATGGATAGTGTAGGCCATCAAGATACGTGAAGGTAATTAAAGATGATGCTAATACAATTCTTTTCCAATAGAAAGTTTATCTACAGAGTCCATCACGTACGTAAAGGTGTTGCATATTTAATAGGGCTGTGTTTTGCATAAAACATGTGCACAAAACTTCTGCTCATGTGCAATGTGTGAAACCCAGTGTTCTTACACCACATACACAGCACTAAAACTCACTATAGTCAGCTGCACTGCCCCAGAATCGTTTAGTCACAGTAATATTTTTTATTGAAATAGCAATTATATAGACAGTCTCGGCTGTTTTTTCCTCGTTGCCGCTACCATAATTCATCGTATATGTATACGTACGTATATATATATGAAAATTCAGAAAAGAAAAAACCCACCCGCGCTCGATGCCTAGCTCGTCGCGATGCACTGAAGCGTGCTTATCTCCCACACGTACTTTGCCCCGCGGATGGGGGCGAGGGGTTAGATTATTGTGTAGCGCGCTTATCCTTCAGTGGGGTAATTCATGTGCCTTGGGATTTTACTGGAACGATTGCATTAGTTGCCGGGCCCACAAAGGTCACTTTGCTTGCTGCACAGGCCCCGTTTGCGAAAAGAGCATATGCAGCGCAGTATAACTGGGACAATTGTTTGCACTCATCTGTACATGTGATTTCAACATGGTGGCTCAAATACTTCTGCTAAGCATGCTGTAAAAATTGCTCAGATTTTGTCTCCTTGCCAGATTCATTTCACGAATGAAAATTTTCTGCTTTGCTGTTGACTTCCTTCAGATGTTGGCTAGAGTATTCATGTAAGCATTATGCCCTTGCTGCTTGACAACACAATTTTTATAGGACTGCTCATATCTCTATCGAGTCAAATTTCTTTTTTCAGTCTACCGAAACCAAGTAAATGTATGGGTTCTGTGTATGAATATGATCTACAGTGGAACATCGGTTGATCTGTGTATCATTCTTTAATTTTTTTCATGCTTCTATTCCACTGCATTTCTGTGGTATTCGTGTTTCTACAATTCGCTGGTACATTTGATTTGCCAGTACGTGAGACCTTGTGCGGAAAGTGTCACAAAGTTGCCAAACATGAGTTCTTCATCTTTGATCAAATAAACAACTTCGCTGGATAATTTTTCGTGAGTGATGTTTTGTAGGGCTCTATTCCACTGACCTTTCCGATTAATTCCCTCGTTTCGTGCATTGTTTTTGTTTAAGCAGCATGTTAAGAGTCGTGCGGTAAACGTTAGTTCACTCTCGTTCAGCGTGTTATTTTCGTGCATCATTTGTGCATGAGCAGCGACTGCATGTTCCAATCTGCTTGCGTTTTTCAGCGTAATATTCCGCATTATTGCTGTCGCATTCCCTGCCCGCCCTTGCGGTGACACTGTGACTTTTTGTTGATGTTTTACATCCCAAAACTGCAATATAATTATGAGAAATGCCACAGTAGAAGGCTCCGGAAGTTTTGACCACCTAATGTTCCTTAACTTGCACTAACAGTGCACAGCACACGGGCCTTTAGCATTTCACATACACCGAAATGCAACCACCGCACACGAGATTAAACCATCAGATTAAACCATCAAAGGTTCAGCACTATAACCCCTACACCATCATGGTGGACTCCTCTATTCACAACTAAAATGAACCGTAAAAAGCTTTCTGAAAATTTTTAACTACGCGTGTATCGGGTCGACGTCGACTCCTTTCATCATCAGGGTTCACCTAACAGCTATTAAAGCGCAACTTCGATTCTCACACCCGCATTTGTTTCAATTCTACAGTACGCATCACTTGAAGTCATCCAATCAAAAGCCTCTGTCATCGACAAAACATGGTGACACAATGAGGCCTGCTGAGCTATGACTAACCAAGGTTCGAAGCATTATACTGTCTTAGCTGTGGTGCGGTGAATATGCCACATGCACAAACCAAGTCGACCATCTGAATCTAATGGACACGAAGATGATTCCATTGCTATACACAAACAAACAAGCCTTTTGCGTGCACCGACATGTATGGCCTTGAACGAAAAACACCAGACGAGCGCACCATCTGTTGGAAAGTTCTAGAAACTGGTGCAGCCACGCGCTGTTGTGTATTCTTAATTTGTGTCTCGTGATCTTGTGTCGTTTTCAACTATGAACGGAACTATCAGTGTTACTGCCCTTCTGACACCGCTCATATTCCTCCACTGGCGCTAAGAACACAGGCAACATTCAAACTTCTGGCGCTACTATGAGCTATAAAATTTTTACAATCTTATTACTTTCCAGCTCTCACATAAAATTGTTATTTTAAAGCATACAAAGGTTGACCATACATTTACGATTTCATATGTCTGAAGATGACATCACCTTACTAGTGCCTAGCGGTGACACATTGTGATTTTAGGATTGCAAAACTTTACGATTCCAAATAGGCGTTATTAACCATAGGCTGAATGTTAAGCTGAAATATTTAAGAATCAGCATGCCTGAGGCTTATTGAAGCAGCACACGTTACAACCGGGCAGCTTCATTTTACTTTCACGACACCTTTAACCTAACGAGGCCATACCAACATTGCAACACTAAGTGAATAAGTAAGACACTCACCTCATCTTTGTTGAGGTTTTCCGTAGGCAGAAACAGGTTCTTGGGCACTGAATTGTGAAAAAGAAGACGCAAGTGTGTAACATGCTACTGTGATGCTATAACAAGATTGAAAAAAAGGAACAAATATGCAACTTGTGCACATATACAGGGCCTCATTAGCAAGTAGCAAAACAAGTAAACATTGGGATAACACAAGCGCTCTTAAAACAAAAGTAGCATGCAGTAAAGATGGGAAACCAAGAGAAGATGGAACGAGCGCTGCCATTGGTTCGACCTTTACCTTTAAGACAACGCACTGACGTGACCACAAAAGTGAATTGTATCAGGAACCTTACTTTCTAAGCTTAGTCACATAGATCCATAGTTCTGTTCAATGCAAATTTTGAATGGCAGAACCAGGTGAGTGCTAAGTTTCGTGTAAGACATCCAGGCACGAGGCATACTTGCAATGAGCTAATATGATGAGAGTAAGCAGCCGATAACCGATTTTTTCCAGATGCCTTGAAACTGGCCAATACTGTTCGTAGGCAGTGGAACCATGTATACACTCAAAATCTCGATATAACAAAGACAGATACAGTGTAGACCACTTATAACATAACCGGTTATAGTGCAGAACAGGTTACAATCGATCTTTGTCAACACCCGTTTACCCTTTCATAGAACCCCATGTATACACATACCGCTTATTGTGCGTTCTTCCTAGATAAAAGACCGGTAAGTATAATGCGGTTGCTGGAAAACCGTGACAAGCCCAGTAGCGAATGTGCACCTGGAAGAAAGCGCGCCGAGTGTGCCACAGGGGAATAAGCGACGAGGTGGTTACGGAGGAGGAGGAGACGCAGAGTGAACAAATGAATGGCGGAGGGAGGACAAAAGAAAAGACTGCGGCACGCTGCACACACTCCCCGAGTGGGAGGAGGGCGGTTAAAGCTTTTGCACCGGCGCCGACACGGATACAGTGTACTGGGTCACTAGCGTGGCTGCGGACGCTTGCTGCCGTATGCGTGCGGCTCAACACAGCACGTGCGATCCCACCCTTGTCAACTGCGCTTAAGGGTTTCGTGTAGGAAAAGCGTGGTCTTTATCAAGCTTGCTACAGATATGACGTTAGCCACTTGGTCCATAAATTTCAAAACTTTTACGGCATTATCAGGCAAGGTTTCTCCTTTGCTGCCAGTACGGAGTCTTACATAAGCTTGGCAGGTTTTTGTTGTTGATCTCCTAGTCGAGAACACAAACTTTGTATCACACACGCTGTTCTTGATACAATATTTATTTGCGATATTTTCATTTGCGATCTTTTCAGCGCCTGATCTTCATCTCTTCGACAAACTTCCAGCAACAGCATACCAAATGGCAGGCTACGCCTAATTAACATTGGTTGCATTTCTGTAGTGGTCACGCTCAATCTAAGTTGCGGTTTAGTACAGAATCAACACAATTTTTTACGATGGCTGCACTTGACGGGAAGGGATACATATCGTTAATGACAACGAGGGTGGCTCGAGCAGCTCTTGAATGATTGTTCGCAATTTGATTGAAACATTTTGAAATCAAGTGTGCGTCTGTGAAATCGAACGATTGGCATCTTTCAGCATGTAATATTTTAAACGTGATTCAATATAGTTTTCTGTGTAATGCACGTACTCGAGGTGGTTTGAGAAATAGTTGGGGAATTTCAATGATGCAGCTTTCTTTTTGCTAGACCCCCCCTCCCCCTGCCTCTTTCGCATTCATTTCATTGGAAATGCGGTGCCTGGAGCGCAAATTTTTTTTCTTTTTAACATTCAGAAATTGGAATGGCTGTAAGCACCACACATCGCACGCTTAGATTTATCGGACATCCGCGGCTGCATGCTTAACACGTTTAGCGCAACTGCGGCCCTTGAAAAAAATTGCTTATGTTATTGTGCAGTACCGCTTATACTGTGGATATTCATGTCTCACATTATGAGCTGCCTATACTGTAAAAAGAAGAATTGGGTATAATGAAGTAAATGAAAATGATTCTTGCCATAGATAGTGTTAGAAATATATCTTCACATTGAATTTTCAGATATAACGCACTTATTTATGAGTCAGATGCAACTTTGTTATAATGAGGATTGAGTGTAAGAGGCTACTTCAAATGTCGCTTCTTTAATGAAATCGCATGGAGTGTACTCCTGAGGCATCACTCATGCATTTGCTTGTATAGGCATCAATGGCCAATTGGAAAGCTGAGCTAACGGGAGGGGTAGCTTGGGCAGTGACGAAAGCAACATACATCATCTAAAAAAAAACCTGGCTGATCATACTATGTAGGAATTGGAATGACACAAAAGTGAAACGTTTCTTTACAAAGGTAGTCAAGCACTTATTGTGCATTGTTTCAGCAACAGCAACAAATTGCAAAGTCAGGCTAGGAATGGCAAGCAGCTCGAAACTTGCAACGCAAAGCTCACGAAGAAAACACGCACGAAATTAGCACACACAGGACGAGCGTGGACTAACAACTGCCACAGCTCAGCACCTAAAGCACGCTGCTTAAACAGAAAAAAAGACGTACGAATCAAGTCCACAAAATACACAGAACAAGTGCGAACTACTCTTACAAATCTTCCTGCATCGTGTGTCGGCGTGAGAAGTGCCCTTTGTCCTCTCCCGATTTGCGAGTTTGATAAGCGCGCCCGCAGGAAAGACCAGGCTCAGAGGAGACGGCACTTTCTAGAGACCTAGAGACGACGACCTGGAGAGCCCACCCAATGCTGGAGTAAATGTATATGCTCTCTATGGGCTCAGAGTAGCGCATAGATCCGCCATCTTGCCTAATTAGCAACAATAGTTACGCAGCAAAGCCGCACTCTTTTTCTGCAGGCGACTTGTTTAAGCCTGTCGCCGATCGATAAAGCGGGCCGTCGATCGCCAGTCAAAATGCCTGCATGTCAATGACCGGCGAAGAAAGAATTGATTGATGAGTCCCAAAACCACCATATGATTATGAGAGACGCCGTAGTGGAGGGCTCCGGAAATTTCGACCACCTGGGGTTCCTTAACGTGCACCCAAATCTGAGCACACGGGCCTACAGCATTTCCGCCTCCATCGGAAATGCAGCCGCCGCAGCCGGGATTTGAGCTCGCGACCTGTGGGTCAGCATCCGAGTACCTTAGCCACTAGACCACCGCGGCGGGGCGGCGGAGAAAGAATAAACACCTGCTTTCAGGACTGTTTCAAGAGCATTTTTTACTCTGTCCCTTGACGCAAAGCGCGAAGTAGTAGCGTAGTGCCGAATAACATGCATCACCATTGCCGCATGGTCAAGGGGCGTCAGCTATATAGAAGAGAAGCAACAACTCGCAAACACAAAATATCAGAGATTCAAAGTGTGCCCCACTACGCTTACGACATTGCTTATTTCAGCATGTTTTTCGAAAATGGTGTCCAATACACGCAAATAGTTAGCTGTTGAAGCTTAAGGAGATAACTCCTTCCGTAGCTAATGAGCTACAGAGTGCATGACAATCACTTGATCGATTCCAGGTAGATGAAGACCGCTCTCAGCGGAGCGGCCTGTGCACCAGCTTCTCCCCGGTGCATGGTTGCTAGTGGTATTGAAAAACAAATATGCTACTCTGCTACCTAGAGGTAGCGTATACAGTTACTCTACCCAGTACAAGCCTGTCACAGCATCTCGCTACTGATAACGAAAACACGCTAAATTTCCGAAGCTCTGAGGACTGCCAAATGGTTTATGGTGTATAGAAATGACTTACCATTGGCCTGTCAAACAGTGTACACTCTGTGGTGTAGTGGTCCATGCACTGACAAACAGGAAGTTGCTGGTTCGATTCCACACGACACAAGCTTGCCTTCAAGTTTTTTCTAAGCAATCTCTTAGTACTATATGTTTTTCAACGTCACTTCCATGATGGAAGTACGTCAGCGGAATTGTGGTGAACCTCCACATAGGGCACTTTCGTGTTAAAAAAATAAAGCTTGTAGTACAGCAGATTTGGCCGCTAGGGGGCCACGGTGTGCGGACGCGCGTCGCATCGGCTCCGCAGATTTTCTATGGTTTTCGGCGATTTCTTTCCAGCCATTCAGTTCAGAGCATTCCCAAGTGACTGCGAAAGTCTTGTGGTCTCTCCCGATACCATTTGTGCAGGTGACCCCGTGTTTCAGTCACTTTTCGAAGATTGCCCGTACTGCCACGCTGGCACGACAGTCAAGCCAGTAGACAAGGCACGGTAGGCCTGACAAGTCGTCAGAGCAAGCGGGTGCCCCATCCGCTGCGCCGGCGCCCGAAATGGAATTCGTGCAAGTCGAAGGGGAGGAGATATCGCCGACGAAGTTCGGAAAAGAGCAGGGATGGTGCGAGACCAAACGAAACACCAAGAAGGCGGGTGGAGACGCCGACCCGGCGAAGAACCAGCAAGCAACGCCAGCGTCTACCGAGAAGGCGGCGTTTATACAGAAAGCGACGCAGTACGTGCGGAAGATCACCATGATGAGCCGAATGCCCAACCTGCCGACGGATGACTACAAGATCATCGTGCGACCCCGGGATGGCTTCAACGTATCCCACTACCAGAAGGACCGCGTCCACTGCTGCATACGCAACGCTGCAGGGGTGGGGCGCGAGGTAGCCGAGGAGGACAGCGTCTGTCTCAATGAGCGACAAAACGTTATTGTGGTAAGCACGCCGTCAGAAGATCGCGCTAGACGGTATGGAGGCATTTGCAAGCTGCGAATTGGCGACCGCGAGTTCGAAGCGAGTGCCTACAGAGCGGCTCCGGAGAACACGTCCAAAGGCCTCATCAGGGGCATATCGCTAGACGAAAAGCCGGCGGACGTCGTGAGAAGTCTGGTTAACCACCGCAACCCGAATGTCCTGCATGCCAAGCGCATGGGAAACACGACCAACGTGATAATCCTTTTCGACGGCTACTACGTGCCTCGTTACGTGAACTACGGCGGGATGGTGATAAGGTGCACTCTTTACAAGAAACATATCGATATGTGCTACGAGTGTGGTCGTCTGGGACACAGGGCCGACGTGTGCCC